CAGACATGCCGTTGACACACTCGCTGCGCGATGCAGCTGTATGGGCCACATCGTTAATTGAATGGTGGAGCACTTAGGATAGCACCACGCATGATGATAAGATAGTCGATCCAAGAAGAATGAATGACAACACAGGATTCTGGATAGTATCGAGCTATAGATGGATTTGACGTTTTCTCAGTGGGTTTCGACGCGTTCTATAAACGCGCTAGAGAGAGGTTCGTGGCTAAGCCCAGATGGGTATGGTCGCTTTATCGCTCCAGCTGCTCCCGAAGTTGATGCTTCGGTAGCACTCACGCGTGTTCCATCTACTCAACTCTTCCAACGTTCACATCCCAACCGCAGCAAAAGCGCCGGATTCATGACTACGACCATGTCTGAATGGCGGAGAAACTCCCGAAATCGCATCTCTCGTCGACCCGATCCGCCTTTGCCCTCATAGACCCGAGCACGTCCTTGTTCCACCGCCAGATAGACCGCCATGCCTACCTCACCAGCGGCTTCCGTACCCACGTCGCGATATCATACGTATGGAGCGAATGGCGAGATAATGCATCGGATAAGCTTCCGAGCTGGGCAGCGCTCCAGAAGCGGCTGACGTCCCTCCTAGGAGAGCGTGCCTCTCCGGACGTGAAGGCTATCACGGGCAAGGCAAGTCGCTGTTGGCTGGACTGTATGTGTATCGATCAGGAGTCTAGTGAGGATAAGACATACTGGATACCGCGGATGGACGAGATATACTATGAGGCGCGATGCACGATCTTGCTCCTGCGAGTACCTGGGCTGGATCTAAGCCCAGTGCTGGAAGTCAAGAAGCGCATGCACTGCCCATTGTCTGGCCCGCTGAGGCTCCGAGATATTGCGCAAATGGTTCCACACAGTTGTCTTCTGTGTCAATCGTGCACATCGCTGCCGGAGATTGACTCAAAGCTCGAGACGTCAGCCCTCAGCGCATTGAAGATCCTGTGCCATGCAACGTGGCGCGAGAGAGCCTGGATTCTACAAGAGATTCTGCTCAGTCAGAACTACCTACTGACCTGGGATGATAGTGGTGAGTGGCTTTCCCTCGCCGACACTGCCGTCGTGGCCGCACTCTTATACCGTCGGAATCTGGAAGAAACATGGCTCGACGGGTTTGCATCCTGGTGCCGCAGACTGTGGTACCTCCGGCAGAACTATGACGAAGCCCAGACGTATGAGCTATGCGACGCAAATGTATTGCAACTAGCCTCTACACTCAGCGCGACGGTACCTTCGGACAAGTACTACGCTTTATGTGGCATGTTGCGGCTCAAGCAAGTGAAACCGAACCCAGAACATAGTGCTAATGAAGCACTGGAGGTCATTGTAGATGTCCTTGTTCAAGAAGGCCGGATGAGCTGGCTGTATGCTGTTCCACCATCTCTTGGAGTTTCCATGCAACTTCGAGACGGAGAAATGGCCCCGTTTGTCCTGACTCGACTTGAGGATCGTCTAAAGCCCAACAAGAAGCATAACGCCGTTACACGGCCTAAAGAACTTACTCTCGATGCGATACAACTCGGGCGCGTTACGGAGGTACTGCCTTTCTCACAGGTTTTGGAGTCAGCGTCCAACCACCTACGCGAGACCCGCGATTTTGACTTCCCCGAAAGTATAGCGCACTGTCATCGCGTGCCAGACATCATCCGAAGGCTTTCTCTCGACTTAGTAGACCCTCTACTTCTTGAACCCACTTTCGGGCACATATGCAGAGCTCTCCAACCTTTACATGCCGTCAAATCAGAAGCCCGTAAGGGATGGTTATGCGTCATGTTTCTCAGCTTCATCGACGAGCCTCTCATCCAGGAGATGTGCGGAGGGGCTTCAGAGGAAGACGTGGAGAACGTGAGATCAGCCGCTGCATCACTCCAGAGGCACCTAATGAAGATACGAGACCTCTTCAGTGTCTTACTTTGGACTAAAGACGCAACAGATGATACTTCGACAGTCATCAGTGTAGCGATTTCGGGTTGTCTGGCCGATGCTCACATCTTTTCATTGAACGGTGAGCTCGACTCGATGTTTGCGGCTCGCCTGCGGGATCAAGTGGACGCCTATGATGAGTTTTGTGGTCCTTTATTCTCGTTGAACGTGCGAGACACCATCGGTCCTCGACCTTCAAGACTGTTCAGCACGCCATTCTGGCGGAAGAAATCTCACACTCCGCATGCGCAATCACTTCGTTTCAAATTTGGGACCAGAGACGAGGTCTCGTAATAGGTTACAGTTAGTTTTATTCGTTTGTGTAGAAAGAAGCATTTTGCAAAAACTCGAAGACACGAAGTACGGAAGCACCGACACGAATGGAATATCCCGCCAATCTGATCTCCCCTAATTTTACCATTGCCTCATCATCTCATTGTCTTATCATCTCATCATTCCATTATCCCATGTCCCATCATCGAATTATCGCATGGTTTCATTACGGCATTGACATAAGCCACGCTGCCTGATAGGTAGGGCTGTAGGCTTCTATCGCCGTCTATTTCGATGTCCTTTAGCGAGGTGGGCACGCAGCTTATCTTGGCGATAGAAAGTCCTGGCACAGTGAGGATGGATGCAGGGAGTCCAGGGGCCGTTATGCTTCTTCATGTGACGGCGGCGCTCTTCAGGACGGCCGAAAGTGTGGGTGCATGTGTCGTAAGGACACTGAAGAGGATCCGTAACAGCAACTTGTAGGACCTGACTGTTGACTAGCGGAATGGCAGATGCGACAGGGGTCTCTTGGGGCTGAGATTGGGGTCGGGCCACATGCGGCGTTGTGTTCGGATCGTTGGCCGGCAAAGCGGCACCTACGAAGGCTGTTTGTCGAGCTTCGGCAGTGACAGCTTCTTGTGCGATACCATGGGGGTCGTCGACAAGGGATTCATCGTTGCCCAGTAGATGGTTGGCTTCACCGTTCAGCACCGCTCGCGCGTCATCCACTAGCATGGGGCTAGCTTCGAGGATATACGGATACTCATATCCATTGTACCGGAAATATGGATTGTGGAGCTCGCTAGTGGAGTCGCTATGGATGCGGGCTACCGTTAGCAGTGCTAAAAAAAAAAGAAACCTACTGAGACCCAGCCCATTGGGCCACGGGACGGTCGCTCGAGTCAACCCGATCGACGCTCTCATCGCGCGATTGTCCGGAACCTGGCGTCGAAGACATATCGAGCCGCTCTCTCTCTCAGGCGTCCAGATTCTGGATTGGCTCGGTTCGAAGTGGTGAATGAGTGGGTTAAGTCAAGAAACAACGGAACGTGTGTCTGATGTCGTCAAATAGAAGGCGGAGAGAAGGCAATCTGGTCTCGTTCGTTGACGACGGGTTGACCGCAAAAGAGTGTACGAGCGTAAAAAAGGGAGAAGGACGACGACACGCATGGTGGGAGACGGATGCTAGAGACTGCTTCGCCCTTGCGACCGGTGAGCCTGTGAAGGATCTCTACCAATCCAGTTAGCACCAAACGGAACACTAGTGTGCCCCTCGACGCATCCCAAGATTAGATATGCAGGTCCCGGCTATTTGATCCGACCACTTATGATCAGACTGTGGTCCGTCCTGGCATCACGTAAGGCACAGTGTGCCCTCCGACACGGCAGTGGCGATATACTGAAGCCAAGGCTTACTTCGGACACGTGATCCGACACGGCATGGTACGGCGCCGGACTGGTGGACATTCCGATGGCACTCAGCCTGCCTCACGCATGCCTCATGCATGGCTGCCTCAAAAATCCAGCCAACGCTGGGACAACTAGCAAGTAGTAACCAAGGCGCACTAAGAAACTTCCGGCTTTGTTTACTTCCCTTGGAGCTGCGACCACGTTCAGGGGTACGTTGAGGCGAGAGCTGAGTCCATTCCTCACAATCTGGCTCCTCTAATCAATGAAGCACGATGCTTTGCCTATAGTCTAAGAAGAGATATGCATTCTATGAAGCCGACACAAGGCTCTACCTATGTTTAAACAAGAGAGACAATTTCTACGGAGCTCAAAAAAAAAAGTCTTCGACGGGAGAACGATAGCACTATTCCTGATTTGGTCTCTGGAAGCGAGGGAGTCCCAACATGGGCATGCCCTTGCTCATTCACTGCTGCCTAAGTTTCACCATCTCACCCTCGCAGAGTGAACATAGCCTCCAGTACGTCGCTTTACCATCAGTATACCCATCGATTTACGCTTCGCGATACGAACCATCGATAACACCATAAGCGGAAGTCCGTAGGTAGTGATGTACACCTACCCGACCTTCCCTCCCAACACCCATCGCGTGCCGAGATTCTCCACGTTCAACACTCCCCTCCTCTATCCCTTCCACCGACTTTAACCCCAACGGCTGCGGGACCAGTTCAGCTGTCGACTCCGAAAACGACGTCTCGTAAAAGCTCGGCGGAAGTTCCAGTCGTTCCGTAAACTTCGACGCCCCAGACTCAGGCTTCTCCGCTGGAGACTCGCATCGCTTTGGTGGCGGAGGAGAAGCGGGAGCAGCAGGAGGAGCGGACACTAACGGACTAGCAGGCGGCGTAACGAGGGGCTCGATATGTGGTTTAGGATGGAGGCGGATGAAGTTGAAAGATGACTCCTTCTTCTTTGGCTTGTTGATGGTTAGGGAGAGGCAGAAGAGATTCATTGTGGGCATGATGGTATAGCACAATGGCAGTATGGTAGTCAGGCGATATGTCAGAATGGCAAGATGGCACGTCAAAGCTGGGTCAGTGAAGGTTAAGTACCGATGAATCTCATGTGGGTCTGTTTACACGATGCTCGAGAGACAGTGTTGTCTCATCGTTGATTTGCGTGGTTGTGGACGAACAGTGTGCGACACGAGATAGGATGTCTTACTACAGGTGTGGGTGAGGGAGGACACTCTACTTCGTAACACACTGTTGAATCCTGACAACTATTCTCGAAGACGACGCGTGCCTCCATCTCAAATAACTTTTCTTTCCTGGATGCGACATGAATTGTAACCAGCCCTAGTACGGCCACCTGGATTTCTATAGCACAGGCATGAGTACCTCGCTCATCCATCTCTTTACGTGTTCGCACAACTGCTGCTTCTCGTGCCCATTGGTCTCCCCATTATTCTTCGTTCCCCATCTTTCCTCGATATCTAGCGCCAGCTTCTGGAAGAGCTTCCCGACCTCTTCGTCTGCGTCGCTCCAAACCAAACTCTTCAAGTCGCCATCTTCATGTAGCCAGTTCTTTAGGAAGTCGCCTTCGACGTGCTTGTGCTTGGCACCTCGCTGAAGACTTTGCCCCAGGTAACGTGGATCTACATCCCTAACCAAGATCTCACCATGTTGATTGCCAGGGGTGTTGTTCATGAGAACGTTGAAGATGTCGCCACTACGGGGTTTGACTGTGTCGTGTTTGTGGGCGCCCGACCGATTCGACTTCACCTCGATCAGGTTTTGTATCAGGCGAAGTAGTAGACAGGCGGCCTTGGAAAGAATGGAGAAAGAGAAGATCGTGCCATCGGTACAAGCGCCAATGATGTCGTCGACAAGGACTCCGGTGGCCTTTCCTGCAGGATTTGGACGGCACCAAGGTGGGCGGATATCACCGCGGTCGAGACGAATAACAGATCGGGGGAGACATGCTTCAAACAACGTCGGTGAAGCGTTACTGTGTGTCCGAAGAGGTGGCTGGTAAAGACCGGTTACCGAGCTGCTCTTCTTATCGGTGAGTAAAACGAATCGATCGTTGCTACTACCCTCCTTGTCTGGCAAATCCATGACCAGATGTCGCGCGCAGTTGCGCATACCACTATCAGAGAACTCCCGCACAAAGTCGAAAGTATCGGGTCGTGCTGACTCCACAACTTTGAAGCAAAGATGTGAGTGCTGGAGCGTCGAAACGTAGACGAATGGCTGATTGACAGACACGTGGATACCTGGAGAGTGCAGATCTGTTTTACCACGCTGGAACCATCGACCGGCTTCCTCGTCGAAGCGATCAATGCACAAAGACTTCCCGACGATACTTACTGTCGTCTGATTGTCCCACAGCGCTATGCCATAGACTGGATCGTTATATGTTGACTGTTTCTGCAAATCCAGCTTGGAGCCCGATTTGCCAGTGTTGAAGATCAGTCGCCTTCCACTATGCTGCGAGGCGCCGGTCTGGATCCCGGTGCCAACAATGATGAGATTGTATCTCTTACTGTCTTTGTTCAAGAACTGCCATTCGACGATGGAATATACCCTCTCGGCATTCATCAAAGGAGCCTGAGCAACGACTAGTCGCTCCACCGGCGCTTCCACCTCCTGTTTGATCTCGACGTCATCGGTCGGTCTGTCGTCGCGCACCCTCAGTAGCTTAATCGATGATTGCAAGACTCGTTCGCCAGAAGGTGGTCCTCGTCTCTCTTTCGCTTCCATAGTCGACACTAGTACTCGACGTAACTTCTGCATGTACAGTATATTGCTCGGCTTAGCACCCGTGATGAGTTTCCTGGGAATGATTTTGGAGTCGTGCAGAAATGTAGAAGGCATATCTTGACTTGACCATTTTACGTCTGCATCCAGTTGCGAGAAGAGAAGTCGATCTCCGGCGACTGCAAACAGAAAGCCGCCGAGGTTCCTCCCAACAACATCCAGTTTCGGTAGAAATGGCAGTTGATAGATTGCCGATACTGGCGATTGATTATACTCGGGGTGGCCGCGATCGGTAAACCATATGGAATCGATGTCGAGACAGGAAAATTCACTTGAAGAGGGGCGCACTCGGCAGAAATCTGATCCACAAGAAACAAATGCTGCAGATACATCTGTTTCGCTGCGGGTTATCTTGGCTGAAGCTGCGCCCATATGAGTAGAGCTCCAGGACGGGGGTGATATGACTGTACGATGTGAGAAGCGTCTCGTGTTAGGATCTATTTCAACTTACCACCGTGCTCTACGTGGATTTGCGAACTCAGAAGAGTGCCATCCCGCATTGCGCACACCAGAAAATTCTTGCCGTCCTTGCTCAGAACAGCAACACTCCCACAGAGCTTCTGCGAACCGTTGAGAGTATCTTGGTCTTTCCAGGAGTCTTCCAACGTCAACGAGGTCTCACCATACGAGTACTGAAAGAGGAAGACCTTCGAATCGAATGTACTAACGAACACATATGGAACGCCGTTGATTTCCAGTGTCTCTACGCATGTGGGGTCATGAGCTAGCTGGTATTGGAATGAATTTGATCGGTCGAAGTTGCCGCCCTTTGAGATTGGTATGATCTCCAGTAGCGCATGACCGCTCTTTCGAGACGCAAGCGCGATGAAAGGGCATGCAGTATGGGTAACAGCCAACAGCAAAGGAGAGTCAAACTTCAAAGACTCGATTTGTCTTAATGTTGGCCGAAGAAGAGTGCGGGCCTCTCGCCTTGAAATCTGAATCGATATCGTGTCAGACCAAGGACATGCCGAGATGGTCTCCTCTTCTCGCATCAGATCGTCTTCGAGCGGATCATCGTCGCTGGGTGTTTGGAACTTGTCCCAGAAGCCCTCTTCCCATGCTCCAGTGAAGTCTGCACGGCTCTCCGGCTGTGTACGGACGATTCGAATTACCAAGGTCTCTGGCGGGAGCGTTATCGAAAATATCGCATAGTGCTGTCTCCTCATCGTGCCTTCGATGTCGGCCATATGACTGCCATGGTCAACCACCCATATCCCAGCGCAGCCGTTGATGCCGCTGAAACTATCGTCGACAACAGCTTGTATGCCGCGTCGCAGCTCCGAGATCTCTCCATGTGGATTATTGCCGTTTGCGACAAAGATGGAAGATCGTTGACGTTCGTCTGACGCGCGCGGGCTAGATAGTTTGGTTACTACAAGGTCTGTAAGAGGCGTCCAATTTGGGATGCTATCGACGAAGGAGAATTGATTTGTGCTTGGATATTGCACTGCATAGGAGTACTCAGTGGGCCAGGCACCGACTTTGCAAAGCAATCCATCATTGCTTGCCCCGCCGGCAATCAGAAGATCCGGGTATTGCTGCGACATCTCTGAGTTGTCGATACCCATGCATGAAAAGGAGGTGTCAATCCGATGTTGCCAATCACCAGCCTCGTCGATCTCCAGAGTGCCCGCTGGCCCTCGCACCACATACATAATACGGCCATCCTCTCTTGCAATGTAAAACACCTCCTTTTGGTAATCGGAGTTGCGCGGCGCCTTATCCCAAGCGGTCCACTTGGGAGCGTGCTTGCCATCGCCTGGTAGTATTGATTGAAGTATTGTCTTGTCGATCGACACTGTGGTTTGCGTTGGATCTCCAGAGAGAATATTTTTGTAAACCGAGATGTGGTCGTCGGACACTAGAAGGAAATCCGAACTCCGGCGAAGTGGTATGAGTAGAGAAGGTATTGTGTCCTCTAGACAGGTCAGTAACGCTCATATACTGCTTAGTACGGCTACACACTTACCAGACTGGACAAGGTATCGCTCCGTCCGAGGGGTTGCTTTACTGAGATCCTGTCTGCAATCCCAATCGAAACAGGTGAGCCTGGTCCTCCCCTGGAGGACTACGACGAACAGCAAAACAACGTGGTAATCGTCCTGTCCAACTCCTGATGATAAGAAATCCATGTGCATTATCTGACCTTCAATAGACATGATTCGCTCATCTTCGATAGGCGCAGCAATCTCATTGCTCATCCTAGAATCCCTTTTCCATCGTTCCATCGGCTTCGTCTTGTAGAGGATAAAGCGCCCTTCGTGTGCTGCGACTGCCATTGCTCGGCATTTGGGATCTATAGCGAGGAAGGTACCGAAGCGATCCAAGCGGGAACTCCCTGCAGGTAGCTTGATGGTCTTCTGGATGAATGTGGCAGTACCTGCCGTATCGTGTTGAGCCCACAAGAACATCAACGATCGGTTTGATAGAGTAAGCACGACGACTTCCGGAGGTAAGGCGTCGTCTCCATTTCCCGTGGTTGGCCTTCTTGTCCTGTGCTTCATGTAAAATTGATGTAGCGAAGGACTGCCATTTGTGGTTGCGGAGACTTCACGAGGGTCGCCAAAGACTTTGGCGGTGATGATGCGGCCGCCGTTGAAGTCAGTCTTGGAAGCCACATGGCGGATCTGGCCATAGTCACGGATCTCTTTGAGACGTATGAAGTCCTCGCCGACCATGACAACGTCGGTCAGATCTTTGTGACGTATCTTCGCCGGAAGGATGAGTTTGCTTAGCGGTGTCTCAAAGACAGTCTGCGACAGTATGCCGTATTCAGGCATTTGGCTTGTTGGCTTGGGCGTTGCATCCCGCATCTCAACGTCATCTTGAGACGCGTTGGCCATGATCTGATAAGGGTCGAGCGGTCTGGAAACCCACTCACCGTCGACGAGGCTGAGGCCGTGGGCTTGGGCCATGACGTTTGATTAAAGCCTATTCGGAAGGCTGGAAACAATGTATAGCTTGAAGATCGAAATCGATGGTGACAGATTCCGCGCACAACACGGGATGAGATCAGACCAGCGTAGGTAGAAGCAACGAAGGCAGACTCAGAGCTGAAACGGATGACATGTTGCTGCCTGTCGCAACAGGCTTGTCAGACACGCTGATGAGGCAAGGAACTTCAGCAATAGGTACTGGGATCAATTGATGCAACAGAAAGCCAGTCGGATGTGGCAAGGGCTGGATTGGACGGTTGGTGGTGGTGAGCGGAATAGCAGCAGCGACCTAAGGCAACTGGAACCGGGATGCCTTGACCAGCTCAAGCCGGCAGCTAGCAGGCCACTACAGCACCCTGGACACCTTCTCAGAGATGGAGTTACCGGATGCACCTACTACTAGCACGCAGCACGTGTAGAGCGCGGAAAGGCTCGTGTAGTGCGCTTCAAGTATCGGAAGGGGGTACCGATCTAGATCACCAGATGATCGTGCAGCAGGGAGTACGATCTTAGTCGGATCGCGATGGCTATGTGAGTTGGTTGCAAGTCCAGTGGTGCGGCGCAGAAGTTGACTGGGGTGCGGGAAGTCTTCCAGCAATGGTTGGTCGGCGTGAAGGTGTCGAGCATGCAGACAGTGCGCCGACACGGAAGATTTGGCGGCACGGCAGCGTCTCGGGCCTTGGTGGCCGCCGGCGAACAGGTGGGCGCGAGTGGTGTTGTCGGGTTACACGGTCGTCACCCCCGCGCAGACAGCGGATAAAAGATGATGGCGATGGGATGGGATACGGCAAGTGCCGGTAGTTGACCTTCACAAGTCGGTGGGGTGCCAAGCGCCTCGGTTGGACAAGGAGGAAGGCGCGACCCGTCACGTCAACCCGGCAGCTGGGACGCCTACGCGCAACAGCATGTAGCTCCTCCAACAAACATCTTGCCACCCTCTTGCATCTCTTCCCTGCGCTCTCCTGCGCTCTCCTGCGCACACGAGGGCCCACGTTGGCCACGTCATCGCGTCCCAGATCCAGCTCTTTCCTGCCGCTGCCGCGTACTGAGGGCACGTCTCGAAATGCGGGCACTGTCATGGCATCACGCACTCCCTCTGGCTCCGTGTCGCGCTCAGTGAGCTCTGGCAGCTTGCCCACGCGACACGCCACCCCCGTTCCCCACCTCACGCCTGCCGAGAAGGAGAAGGAGTCTCTGGTGCGCGCGGCCATCGACAATGGCGACGTCACCGCCCTGGTAGACCTCGCGACCAGCCCCTCTGGCCTCGTCAGCGATAGCTTGCGTTGCACTGCTTGTAGGCCTCCCATTGCACGCATCTCTACACTAGGCTGACAACTATAGGGCCTCTCCTGCTAGGATGCTCTGACAAGGATTCAGAGAAGGAGCCATGGAAACATCTCTCCGAGCACAAGGATGAGCATCAGGTTGGCTTGGATGTCAACCGCGCGTTTGTCTACTACCCCAGGAACGGTATGTTGCATGCAAGCGAACCAACTTGTGTTTCATACTAATAGGACCAGAGTCTGAGAAGCAGCTTAATCGTCGAAAAGAGCAGCTCTCCGATGTCATCCTTGACGTCCTGCGCCATCACCCCACGCTCTGCTACTTCCAGGGCTACCACGATATCGTCCAGGTCTTCCTACTCGTCCTCGGCCCCGAACATGCCCCCGCTGCAGTTGCCCGACTAAGCCTGCTTCGCATTCGCGACTTCATGCTGTCGTCGCTCGATCCAGCCCTCGCCCAGCTCGAATTGCTGCGACCGATCCTCCGCGCCGCCGATCCCGTCCTGTATGAGCACCTTCCCAAGAGTCAGCCTTCGTTTGCGCTTGCCGGAACAATCACCATGTTCGCCCACAATATACAAGACTACAAGGACATCACAAGGCTGTTTGACTTCTTCTTGGCGCGACATGCGGTTATGCCCATATACCTCTTCGCAGCTGTGGTGCTATCCAAGAGGGAGGAGCTGCTGGAGTACGAGAAGGAGGACGAGGACATACTTTACGTCATGCTAGGGAAGCTTCCAGAGCCTTTCGACGTCGAGTTCCACATCGCCCGGACCGTGGAGCTGTACGAGAGACTACCTCCTGCGTCGCTCAACAGCTGGGAGTGGTGGCGCATCTCGTCCTCCAGCGTACTCAAATCGTCTGCGACAAACAACAGTCTGCGTCGTCTTACCTTGGAAGATGGCGAGATGCTGTTCTTGCAGCAGGAGCAGGACCTCCGTCGCGCGCAGACCCTGAGACAGGCCGTCAAGACAATACACTACATCAAGCTGCGTGTTTGGCACCACCGCCGGTATGGAGCTGTTGGTCTTGCCATGGTAGTGGGTGCCTATGCTCTGTGGCTCGGCAGGAACGGAGGTCACAACACAGGATTCCCGCTTTTTGGACCGTTGGGAGGGTACCTGATGAGGTTTCTCGGAGGCCCAGCATGAACGGCGCATCAGGAGTTGCGGTTACAACAAAAGTGGTTTCAAGCATAGCATGGCGCTAAGGCAAGATCGGTGCAGGAAGAGGAACAAAAGTCTGAAGAGTCGTTTGGCTCGTATAGAGGTATTCCACTTTTATCAGTGACCAGTCCCCCATTTTGCTCCAGATGGTTCATCTTTTCTGCTACTGTCTACCACCACCTATGCGGATACATGTTCCGAATTCTCACCAGGCAGTCTACGCTTATCTCTCTCACAGCACGCCCGTAAACGTCGCTAGAGGGTGTACTCAACATCACAGTACCTAGTCCCAGGACACTACCACCACGTTAGCGCGCGAATCTCACATCCCCATCCTTCTCCAACCCAACTTACCGTATCATGAAACGCACAAGCCCACAGCTTACACTGCTGCATTTGTAACTGTCGCGTCAAACCCATCTTGGTCTGTCAGACCGTCAGCTCGAATCCAGCAATCAATCCTTTCCTCTCGCTTCTCGTTTTCTCGCTTTTCTCTGGTCTCAGTTGCGCATACGTACCTTCATGCAATACTCAATCTCCTCGTCACAAACGCCGGATCCGGGGATCTCGGATAGCAGGGTTGCGGGCTTGGGGATCCATCGGTAGGTTGTAGTGCGGGGGTTGGTGGTTGGTGTTGCGGCGGAGGCGAGGGGGGCTAGGAAGAGGGTAAGAATGGGTAGGAGGATGGGGTGCATGGTTGTGCAGTTGTTGTTATGGTTGTCTGGTTCGTGTGCTGGGAGAAGAATGCGTCGTAACTGAGTATTGGGTAAAAGAGGTGGGTGAGAGTGTTGATCAGTCGCGTCGGCGTTGTGAAAGATCTTATGACGTTAGGTTAAGGAGTGAATAGGAAGAGAGAACTATATCCACTTAGAGTGTCACCGGCTTGCAAGCTTGTGATACAGCTGGTAAGCCATTCATTTTGGTAGAGGACTACAGGTGATTATACATAGGGTTACCCAAGGTCAGGATGTTCGCCATATCGGAGACATGTTGACATCCCTCTTAGGCCGTGCGTAGTTTCCACCACACATCAATCCCAACACCAGCTGACTCTGTCAATTACAAGCTGAGATGGTGTTTCAGCCCCTCATCTCATGACTACTAGTCAAAATTGTCAGGCACCGGCGATCCGTGGAGGAGAGTGCGCAAATCAGGTTGTAGCACCTCGCCATGTCCGAGTTTGTAAGTGCAGCGATCGCAGTCCATGCACTACAAGAATGTTAGCCTACTCCTCCTAACCTTGAGAATAAATCACTTACAGCCTCGTCCGCGCACATGCTCTTGCGGAACTTCTCCTTAGTCTCGGCATCAGGTGAGCCCTATCAGCGCGTTAGTCATCGTTCGCAAAGCCCAGATGTATCGTCGTAGTAGAAGAGAACGAGCAGGGAAGGGGAATACTTACAGCGATAAGGTAAAGATACTGCATGTACTCGCAGCTCTTGACCGTCTCACAGACCCTGTTGTCCGGGTAAGGGTACAAGTATTTCGGAAAACCCGCGCATGTCATTCTTCCCTTGGGGAAGGCGGAAGTAGGTCCCTCGGGTTGGCAACCACCTGCCCTGCTGCACTGGTACGGCGCCGACCAGGTACCGTTACTATTGCATTTGTACATGAAGCGATGATGGCTGTCGCAGGCCCAATCTCCGTAGGCGCATTCAGTGCTGTTGGTTTGACGTTGCATTTTCGACGGACCTACACCACCAGTCTCGCAGTGCGCTTTCCCTGGGCCGTCAGTGATGCAGTCTCCGTAAGTGGTGCACTTCTTCTCGGTATGCCACATCTCGTTGTCTCCGCAAAGCATGAGGGCGTACGCGTCAGAGTCGCACTTTCGATCGCCTGGCGTGCATGGCTCTGGTACGGTCGCGGGAGTCGGTGGCTTCATCCAGCACTGCACGAAATCGTCATGCTTGACGCATTCGGAAGTCTTGGGACACATGGTTGATTTCCAGACGCTGTCGACACACTCCTGACGCTTGTTGCCAGAGCAGCGGGATGTGCCAGTGTCGCAATACTCATGAGCATCTGGAGTTCCTTGCGATATCCACGACCGAGAGTCAAGGGATTTGGGAGGAGGAGCAGTGGACAGGATTTCAGGGTCGTAGACGCATTTTGTTTCGCCTTGGCTGACGTATTGACCAGGCACCCAGTGCATGCAAAACTCTTCCGATCCGCAGGTCCCATAGGCAAGCCAGAATTGATCATAGTTGCACATCTCGATGCGGTAAAGACCGTTTGACCAGTTTGAGCATCGCGTCTCGGTCACTGTTTTGCAAGGCTCAGGTTGCGGTGGAGTGCCAGGAGGGAGAGGCGCCGGTGGCAAGTCTGCAGTGGCGCAGGAAGTCTTGTTCATGAGTGTGTTACATACTCCGGGTGTAGGGCATGATTCAATGGCTTTCCATCGGTGCTCGTTGTTGCATGCGACACGCCACTCATTGCCGAGGCAGCGCTCTTCGCCGGGGATGTCGCAGGTCGCGATACAATGACCATGATCATCAGGGTTGTTGGTGTCAATGGTACAGATTTCGGTCTTGCTACATGACTGATCCGACCAGTATTCAGTGCCTTGGGGATTGCAGATCACCACGTCGTTGTAGTCGCACTTTCGAGTGCCTGGCTCGCAGAACTGCTCCGAGGATGGAATGCTGGCAGAGAACACCACAGGTAGTACCATGGCCAGAGCCACGAAGATCTTGTTGAATCGCATTTTCAGTGAGCGTGTAGGATGAGGTGGTAGTGAAATGTAGTGGTAGGAGAAGAGAATTGAAGTTGATGGTGCAGGAAGGGAGGAAGGAGTGGAAGAAGTCGGTCTACAAAGCACATCGACGTACAAAAGGGGGCCAAGCTAGAAGCACGAGCGGTGTGCAGGTAACGGCTGCCCCATGGTCTGAAGCAGGTGATAGGTCGATGGTGAGGGAAAGAGCTACCCCGATACTAACAAACGCCCGAATGAGCGAGTAGTTGAACTCATTCTCGAACATTTGCGCCGTCGGTCAGCTAACAGCCTATCAGCTAGTATTCAAACCAATAATCAAAGTCCTCAACGCATCAAGCCAAGCCTTCTCCGCTCTCAGTGTTTGTATTATCAATCCAGCGACTCCATCGGGCAGGCTCAACCAACAGTTTCGATGGGCTATTGCTCTTTTTCAATTCCATTATATAGTATTGAGAGATTGCGCCACAATTCATGGTTTGTCAGAGTGCCGAGATGAGGCAATGCAGAATGCGGTATACAAGCCCGACATTCGCGGTGAGTACCAGTCACGTGACTCGCGCGAGTTCGCCCGCAATACATAGCCCTGGAGGTGGTCAGTTCACTCTCAGCCTTTTCTCTCAGTGAAAACTCCCACGATTTACTTCTCAGGGATTTAGTCCTCTGGTGTTCAAAGCTTCGAGCCCCCACTTTGAGGTCCGTTTCGTTACAATCAACCCGCGCCAACCCATCCCATCCGCCGCCATGCTACTATCAAAAGCCTCCATCATCTTATCTCTTCCGTTCACTGTACGCGCACTATCTTTCTCCTCCTTGTTCGGTATTCGAGGGTCGGAACAACAAACATGCGATCGTTCATGCTTCGCCGACTATCGCTCCCTCATGGGCGACGCTGCTGAAAACCTCGTACTTCCAATCTCATCATCGCATCGAAACACAGCCGACGATCTCTGCGGCGATCAGGAATGCTCCCAGTGCGACTTTTGCGACGTCAGCCTTACTGGTCGCTTTCCTATCTTGTCTCTGCAGAATGTAGAGCTCAACCGGATAGCGAATGCGGAAGCGAGAAAAGGTGCGGACAATGCGGAGGTGAAAATATGTACGGATTGCCAGCTATACCTGAATAACTGCGAGAGACCTCACGAACGCAAAATGGCATACAATCCCCCGTGGCATGAACTCGCCCCGCCCTACCCTCTCCACATAACAGACCACCAGCGAACTCTACAATGCGAGCTCCAGCTCTGCACAGACGGTCCTATACACTGCGGCGTCAACGGGGCATGCGAGCGCCAGATCTGCAAAGACCTCGCTGACCGTGCTGACCTTCTCGAACCGGCTCATACACTGGAGTGCGAAGACTGCGTGAAGTCCTGGGTCCGATGCATACACGATAGGTGTATTCCACCTACACTCGACGCGTTGGCAGACAGCTTACGCTCACCCAATTGCTTCAAGAACCATACGCAATGTCAGCAACAAACATGGCAAGAGATCAACGCCTCGCTTGCACCGGATCGGGATTGTGTGGAGTCTTGCTGGGGGAGTACCCCGACGTATTGCCATATTGGTTCTTGTGCCTTGCCCTTTCGCTCCTCGGGAACGCAAAACTCGACCTCTCTCCCGTTCACTCCCGCCCCAACTAGAATCGAGACTTTATCTCGAGGTTGCAGTGCGTTTCGCGATACATGCCTGGAGACTTGTGACCTGGGTAATGCTCACTTGAAGTGCGAAGCAAAGTGCGAAAGACTGCATAGTAGCAATGAATGGTTCAAAGAAGTATGTGAGCAGACGTGTGGGAAGAGGACTTGCTGGACCGAATGCAGAGACATGACATGCTGTGTAGGACCAGAGCAGTGTAAAGAGGGTGGAGAGGCATACAGGTGCAACAACAAACTGAGATGCGAGAAGTATAAGAAGATGGTAGAGAAGGGCAATATGATGCTACGCAGTTAGTAGTTGCTATTGCTCAACGTTTGTGGCTCTTATCGCATTCATGTCAAGGACGATAGTGAAATGCACTGGATCATAATCGATGTATTAAACAGGATCGTCGGCCTGCGACCTCGATGTTTTGGCAGAACTCCACCCAACGCCTTGCATGAAACTCATGATATGGTAAATGTAATAGCAGTTGTAGCAAGCTAGCGGTCCTATAATGACCGCTGCATTCCCTTGGGCTGAGTGTCGGTCTGCATGAACGCCGTCATGCACCGTGATGTCATGCTCGCCTCTTATTTCGGGCCTGAGCCATATCCAGCGCTGTTCTTCGGTTCTTCAGCAAGCAAATCGGCGCTGTATACACGCTTGTAGTCCTGCTCGCTCCATCCCTGCTGCTGGGCAAGGCCACTGAGACTCAGGCCACGCGAACGAGTCTTCTTGACTGCATCGCCTTGAGCGGCGCCAACGGGAGTAGAGTTGTAGTTGAGGGGCACTACACCTTGACCGGGAGGCGGGAATGGAGTGGAGCCTGTCGGCGACGCGACTGTTCGGCCCGCAGTGACGTTGTCGGGTACTTCAGAGTCGGCGGAGAAGTCGGACGAGACGGACGCTTGCTGCGCTCGCTTCAGTGCGTTCTCGTAGTTCGCTGAGCTTGCTCGAGCCATGCCAGGGCGGCGGTAGCCAGTGTAAGCACGGACAGCTTCAGTTGGGCCATTGTCTGTTGTCTCGTTTCCTCCACCGGCACCCATCAGGGGCAAAAGATTTGGGTCGGGAGCAGCCGCATCGGTTTGCGAAGCGCTGTTGGAGGTGAAGGCGGCTTCGGCTTCGGAGCGTGTGTTGGGTGTGAGGCCCGAGGGAGTGAAGGCGCCCGATGAGAGGAAGGAGCCCTCGGTGGGCGGCATGAGAGATGGTCGTGAGCTCATGGTGAAGACAGTGTGTGCTGTCGTATCTTAGTAAGCTGCAAGACATCCTGGAACCTTGAAAGCGTGAACGTACGTGAAGTCTGTGAACTACTATTAGGGTCTAGGCGGTGCCGTGTCAAATAGTGTGATTGGAGGGTACTGGTCCCTGTCTATCAGTCAGCTGGGTAGTCCCTAGAGGCCGTAGAAGGACCGCACCGAACGTTCAGGGTCTTTGGTATGCAGGTGCAGCAAAAAGAATCGTAATTGTTCGTTCACATCGGTTTAAGCGACTGCCATGTATTTGAGCAATAGCGGCTGATGCTATGCCATCATATCTTGGCGGGTGACGTCTTTTCAGGGTCCAGACTTGCGGGGCCCTCTAGCCGCATGTGGCAGCTTCTCGTGCAGCTCAATCAACATTGAGGGCGATGGCGACGAGCCGCAAGGGTTTGCGCTGATCGCTGACATGCTTGCTGTGGAGATGGCTCCCTTCAATAGGTGGGAATGGCGCGGTCGACGTCTCTAAGCGGAGAGAAGACGTGCAACATGCATGTCACCGCGCGTTAGGGCTGGTGATACTCGGAACACGGGACACGGGTGAGTATTGGATCTGTGAATTCCTCGACTAAATATCCAACAGCCATCTGACCACTCACTCCCATTAATTCGAATCGAAGCATCGAAACACCGACCAAACCAAACATCGACCAAATACAGACATGGTGGCTACATCACCGATCCACAAAACCTTGCCACAAGTAGCCCCTTGCTTCCTGCTCAAAACCGCCCAACACATCTGGCGTAATGAAGCCTCTGGACAATCTGTGATGCCGTTAGACGAGGATCTCAATGTAAGGTGAAGGGGAAACAGATGTCTTACCTCACTACATTAGCCGCGAATCATCCGACAGTATCGAACTAGAGGCCAGAGTGGCAAACACCAATGGCGGCGGTAGTAGCACCACCAACCTTGGCAGTGCATTCAACATAGGCAGCATAGACTGCGGCGAGAGCAAAGCCAGCGGTGCCTTCAATAGCGGCCAAAGCAGCGCCAGTGCATCCAGCGATACCGGAAGCGCCTGCAAGCCCAGCAGCAACGACGCAAGAGCCACATGCCCAGTTCTGGAAGCAGCCGCTTCGGCCTGACTTGATACGCGCATCGTGAAGGGCAAGCGCTTGTCGCTCCATGCGACGGACCGAGTCGTTGCGAGCGGCAAGCTTGTTGCTCTTGACTTCGGATACAGCGTCGACACGGGCGGCTTCCGGGGCGACCAAGGCCGAGACCTCGAGCGAGAGTTCGGTGAAGACGTATTCTTTGACGTGGTCCGGCCAGGCCTGGACGGCTTCAATGGGTTGCTGAAGGAGGGGGCACCAGTCTTCCACGGTCATCGTGACATAGTCGACGGTGTTGAGGAGGTCGACCATGGCCTTGGTCGGAACATGGACCTTCTCGGCAATGACCTCGATGGGGATTGCTCCCAAAGAAACGTCGATGTCGATGTTGGCCGTCGCATTGACGCTGGCGGCTGCAGCCATGCTGGCAGTAGCAAGGAGAGACAGCTTGAGGAATGAGGTAGTCATGGTGAGGTAGGGTAGCTGATGAAGGCTGTGGTTTGGAATGAGAAGGTGAAGGATTTGAAATGAGGATTCGGGAAGGATAGTGAAGTACTGAGCTGATATTGGAAGAGAGCATTTCCTCCGGTTTTTATAACTTCTAAAGCTTCGTTCAACATACATCGCCTCGATACCTGATTACTGAGACATTGCTTCCGGCGTCGGATACGGATGCAAAAGCTCATAGCATGCCGCTCACCTCCTCATTGACATCTGCCGGATTTGCACAGAAGCAGAGTATCACGCAACGGTAACCGACTACCAAGCATACGATTCTGACTGAGGCCGTATCCGAATCAGCCCTAAGGACTTGGACTGCTCGCGCTTTCCCTGAGTTCGGGATTATTCATTGACAGAAGCAGCATGCCCAGCACTGATACGAAATTACCAGAAGTACAGTCATTGCAAAATGAGTAACATTGTGAGTTCCAAGGACTTGGCTCGCTAGCTAAAAGCGTATCTTAGCTCTCTTCACCGCTGAGTATCAGTCATCAGAATTGCCTCGCTATGCCCACTCGGTCCAAAGCAAGACACAAA